GACAATCATGAGCGTGACTGACAGTGAGAGTCACTGAAGTCAAAGTCCCTACTTTGATTGAGTTCCAAAGTTTTGCCGGCTCCTTTTGTTTCGACTCACCCAGAATGCTTTTATAGTGTTGAAAATGTATTTACTTTTTTTCAGTGAGTCAGAGAAAGGAGAAAGTCTTAGGGGTTTGGAACAACGTCAGGGTGAGTAAGTGATTAGAAATCATTTTTTGAATGCACACTACTTTTGAGAAGTTTGGAGTCGGTAAGATTTTTACATTTTTTTTAAGTCTCCTGCTCACCAAGGCTGCATTTATTTGATCGAAAATGCAGTAAAAACAGTGAAATATTATTGTAATTTAAAATAACTGTTTTCTAAGTTAATATATTGTAAACTGTAATTTATTCCTGTGATGCAAAGCTGAATTTTCAGCATCATTACTCCAGTCTTCAGTGTCACATGATCTTCAGAAATCATTGTAATATGCTGATTTGCTGCTCAAGAAACATTTTTAATTATTATTAATGTTGAAAACAGTCGTGCTGCTTCCTATTTTTTGTGGAAACGGTGATAGATTTGATTTTTCAGGATTGTTTGATGAATAAAAGGTTCAAAAGAGCAACATTTATTTGAAATAGAAATCTTTTGCTACATTATAAACATCTTTAGCGTCACTTTTGATCAATTTAATGCATCTTTGCTGAATACAAATATCAATTTCTTTCAAAAGAAAAAAAAAATCTTACTGTCCCCAAACTTGTGAACGGTAGTGTATTTGTTTTTGGGTGAATTATTCCTTGTGTAGATCTCTAATGTAATGTCTTTAAATCCGGAGGTGTGTCTGTGCTTATGAAAGCGCCCTTCATTTTTACAGATGTTATCAGAACCGACCCTTTCTCACAGTGATTTCTTTACATCACGTGTTTATTTAGAAGTGGTTGGTCGGGGTCAGATATCTTCCTTGATCAATCTATGAAACAGCAGTCACTTAATATCTGTGTTTTTACTGGCGATGGGTTTTTATTAATTAATTCTTGCATTACAGCTGTAACTCTAACAGACAGTATCCAGGTTTCAGAGTAACACAAAAACACAAGCTCTTCATTTTCTTTAGCCAGGACGGTGTTCAATCTTTCAAATTAAACCTTTGCAGATTTTCGAGTGATATGAGCTGAGAGTGTTTTGTAGATGCTGATCATTTAATAGTTCACATGACTGGGCCTTTCCTATTGAATGTAGCTGTAGAATATTCCTGGATGTGCTGTATTGCATTTTGTTCCTTCTCATTACACTTTTTCAAACATTGGCTCATTGATTGTTTTATGATCAAATGAAGTGAAAATCTTGAATTTAAAAGAGCCAGAGAACAAGTTGAAACTTTGGATGCACTTGAGACTTTTGTAAGTTTTGTTGTATGACAGCTTTCTTTACTGGGTTGATTTGAGTTTTTTTTTTTTTTGGCCGAGATTGAGGAGGTTTGTTACTTGAAGGCCTTATTTCTGGGCATGATGCATGAAAGAGCACAACAAATATATCTATAGAGTTAAAAATACTTTGTGCATCAGCCCTTTTAACCATTTATTTCCTAAAATTAATAAATTTTATAACTCAATGTTCATGGGTGAATCTCACAAAATCAAAAAAAAAAAAAATGTGCATCATTCACTCTAAACGAAAATAAATAAATATTTCTTTTATAAAAAAAAAAAAAAAAAAAAAGAGAATTAATTTTAATTAATTAAAAATGAATGTATAATGAGAATCACCGTTTAGAATAATGATAATTATTTAAAAAAAAAAATTCTGGATGCAGTACCTGAACATATTTTTGAACATCATCTCAAATGCTTTACTTAAATTCTTTTACCTTTTTTTTTTTTTTTTCATTTAGAACATTTGTCAAATCCAGCTGCATTCATGTTGATTCAGTTTAGATTTGCTCTTGTGATGTTACGTTCTCCATTGTTTTGTGTGTGTTGCTCCTCAGAGAATGTTTTCTTCCATTGAGCTGGGAAAACATTGTGGCGTCGTGAATGTAAACTTCATGTCTTGCTCTCTGCCGTGTGATTTTCCAGATGTTTCCACATGTTTTACTCTGAAGATGTCGTTGCATTGAGTACACTTGAGCGTTTACTCAACGTTATATTACAGTGCCAATCGCAAAACACGCTGATCTGATTTCATTTGTTAAGCAAGATCATGTAAACAAACCTACGATTTATAAAAAAAAAAAATAGTTATGACAAATTCATGACAATGTTCATGTTAGTGATAATGTGTCTGTAGGAACAATTATTGTATAATTGGCCACATTTGACTGTTGACCCCTGGTGCCTTACAAGTGTTTTTATTTTTGAAATATGATATTTGGATCCTGAGCTGAGGGCATTGTGCAGTCAATCATTTACACACTTATCAATATGAGGTGAGAATACTTGTGCAACTAATTTTATAACAGGACAATGAATGTACGGAGCCCATAAAGTGTAAATAACAAACAATATGAAGTGAATACATTAGTGGCATCCTCAAAACCAAGCTGGTACAGCGCATACAGTTTACTGAATTTAAATTAAGGTTGTCTTGTGTGTTGTAACTCATATTTCTCATGTCTTGTTTGATAGAGAAACCTCGGCAAAGCCATAATTCAAATGTATTATTCAACTCCTTCAGTCTCACTTCGAACTGCATTTAATAAAACTGATTTTAAAAAGACATTTTTCTCTATGCAGTGTCATTTATTTGTACTGAAGTGTTGCACAGCTCTGATTTGTTTGTTAACATCTCTCACAACAACAAATCATTATCCACAAAAACGTAGACTGAATATAACATTAATTCTAAACCACCATTTGACACAAATAGATAATTGTACATTGTAATGTTCCCACCGAATTATTTATTTATAAAGATATCTTTTTTTGATGATAATGCTATTCCCAGTAGTAATATAACACACACACACACACACATATATATATATATATATATATATATACTATTCTATTCTAATATTAACCCCTTAACTGTCACCCCCCATTTTTTAAACCGCCAAAACTTAAATTGTTGTAATTTATGAATACTTTGGAATACAGACATAAGGTTGGTCTCTTTTTAAAGAAGAAAATCAGCAAATTTTTTCAAAAAAATTAAGTATCAAAAAGTTATAATAGTTTAAATTTACTGTAAAGAAAATGCACTATATTTTATTTTATATATAATAAATATTTTACATATCAGGTTTTACTCTAAAATTGGTATAAAATTATAGCCTTATGTCTAAATAAGTTATGTTCCAAATTTGAAGTTGATATGAAAAAAATGGAGGTTCCTGTGAGATTTTATTTTGGGCGTTATACCACAAACATCCACCGGGTTCCATCCAAACTCCATTGAAATTTTTTTAATGCATTTTTCTGTCACAAATGTCTAGATTTCTCTGCCAATGATATGTTTTTTTGTCAAGATTATAAAAAGGTTTGCTTCTAAAAGACGTAATTCATTTTGTAATATGACACTTGACACTGCCCACTAAGGGGGAGGAGACCGCCAAAAGATTTTAAAGTACCATTTCCATGGTAAAGCAATGTCAAAAGAGCGCCAAACGTCCCACAGGTGGGACGGTGACAGTTAAGCAGCACTTATAAATACGGATAATATAACCATACCAAACGCTTAACTTCTAATACATGTTCTCTCTATTGTTATTTTATTATAATGTATTTTTGAAAGACATTTTTCTGTTTATTATTTGGATATGCAAATGTATTTAACTTTATTATTTTTAATTATATTTTAATAGTTATTCTATTCTATACTATTTTATTTTATTCCATTTTAATCGTTTTTTTCTTGTTTCTATTCTATTCTACTTTATTGTATTTTATGATGAAGTAAGTTGAAGATTGATTTTGAGTGAAAAAGCTGAAGGAGAGCAACTGGTTGAACCCGGAAATGACAGACTGCCCCTTAGCAACCGCCGTCACGTCGTAGCAACCAGTGTTTACGTCTCGCTCAGGAGTCGGAGATGCCGCTGATAGTGAGAGATCACACATGGACACAAAACCAGAGCGCGGTTTACATCAGCGTCCCTTTAAAAGGAGTGAAGACCGCAAACGTTCATGTCATCTGCACGGACGAGTATCTGAAGGTCAGGTCTGAAGCATTAAATGTGAAACTTTAACCTGCAGTAGTCCTGTGTGTTCCTGCAGAAACACTCTGTGTGTTTTGAACGGCTGTGCAGGTGAGTTTCACCCCGTTTCTCTTCGAGGTTTTCTTATTTGGGCCAATAAATGAGGAGAAAAGTGAAGCCAGGATTGGAGACGGTGTTGCAGTTTTCACTCTGCAGAAGAGGAGAGATGAACTGTGGGAGCAGCTCTTCACAAACATCGGTAAGTTAGGAGATCTTTCATTCTTTCGCAGCATAGAAATATACCCAAGATGTTGCATTTGTGACATATATAGCTATTAAAAACCTTTGTATATTTTTTTATTTCAAAGACAAAGACAAGCAGAAGCAGATTCGAGAACAAGCAATTCTCAAAGTTCAGGGGAAAGAAGCAGAAAACGTCTAAAGCCAAAGCTGCCAGGATTCAACAAGAGAAGAAATATGCGCTGGAAACCACAATGAAGGTCTTAAAATGTGCTTTCGCTCTCTGAGTCAGAATGGACATGGCCTTTTCCATTGTCTGGTGTTTTACCTTTATGCAAAATATAAGAAATTATGTTTTGCATAAAGAAAATTAAGCTTTGTTTTCATGCATATTTATTTACCCATAATGATGACTTCCATTAAATTCTCATAACTATAGTGCAGTAATGAGAATAATCTTGTCAAAAACAGTTTTTTTATTAAATTTGTATAAATTAAAAACAGTGCAACAAATACTTCCAGAATGTATGAATTGATTTTGTATACTTTATTCTTAAACTACTGTTTTTGAATCAATGCACTTGACAATTTTTGCTAAACATGCAGAATGATTTCTTTAATTGTTGTCTCAAACATCAGCTTACTGTTGAGTTCTCTGCCTGTGTTTAGCTTGAGAATGAGGAGCGGGACAGGATTCAGAAGATGAAGGATGAGGAGTGTGCGAGAGCCACGGCAGAGCTGGATTTCTGGAGAGAAACAGCAGAAGAAAATGAGAACCAGGCAAACCTGCGGGGATGGAAAACTCCATCTTGTCAGTGTCGAATCACCCCTTTAAATGTTCTTCATAAAACCATAGATGCCAATAAAGAAGCTTTATTTTAAATATGATACTGGACTAGGTATGCTTAAAAACGTACTTTTTGTATGCGATGTCCTGTGACTTTCTGTAAAAGATATGCGTTGATAGAGAGCTGCCGCAATGCCTGTCACTAAATTGTCACGCCCCCCTGTTGAAAAAACCCCAGCATATGCTGGTTAGGTATGTTTGAAGTATGGCAGCTGGTTTAAGCTGGTCTTGAGTTGGTTATGAGCTGGTCCTGAGCAGGAGCTAGTTGCTTAGGACCAGCCTATAGGACCAGCTCATAACCAACTCAAACCTGCCAGTTTGACTGCAAATCCACATTAAATGTTCACCACTAGAAGCTACTATTGGACAAGCCATAGCATAATTTCATGCTGCTTTCCCTCATCCTGAATCCTCAAGTAAAGATGTCCAGAGGACAAATCAACTTTACGTTCATTGATACCCCAAAATCGAAAATTTGCTGAAAATGTACTCACCCTCAGGCCATCCAAGATGTAGACGAGTTTGTTTCTTCATAGATCCGATTGATCCTCTGCAGTGAATGGGTGCCGTCAGATGCTACTTACAAACACGCAGCTTTTGTCTTCTCCAGATGTTAACTGATGGACATTTCAATAGGACATTAAAAGGCCCTTTTCGACATATTCTGTTAACACATGAAGCATATATTTTATTTGATAAGGTTGTTACATCTGGTACTGTCAGTTTCAAGTGACATATCCATCAAACATACACAATACTGGACATCAAGGTTAAAAAGATCAATTACAATAACAACAAAACAAGACCTGTCCTGAGTGAACGATCAATAGAAGTTACTCAAATAAGAGATGCAAATGTGTTTGGTCACTGTCCCTTAAACTGTGTTTTGTAATTTGGGATATACAGGTGCATCTCAATAAATTAGAATGTCGTGGAAAAGTTAATTTATTTCAGTAATTCAACTCAAATTGTGAAACTCGTGTATTAAATAAATTCAATGCACACAGACTGAAGTAGTTTAAGTCTTTGGTTCTTTTAATTGTGATGATTTTGGCTCACATTTAACAAAAACCCACCAATTCACTATCAACAAATTAGAATATGGTGACGTGCCAATCAGCTAATCAACTCAAAACACCTGCAAAGGTTTCCTGAGCCTTCAAAATGGTCTCTCAGTTTGGTTCACAAGGCTACACAATCATGGGGAAGACTACTGATCTGACAGTTGTCCAGAAGACAATCATTGACACCCTTCACAAGGAAGGTAAGCCACAAACATTCATTGCCAAAGAAGCTGGCTGTTCACAGAGTGCTGTATCCAAGCATGTTAACAGAAAGTTGAGTGGAAGGAAAAAGTGTGGAAGAAAAAGATGCACAACCAACCAAGAGAACCGCAGCCTTATGAGGATTGCCAAGCAAAATCGATTCAAGAATTTGAGTGAACTTCACAAGGAATGAACTGAGGCTGGGGTCAAGGCATCAAGAGCCACCACACACAGACGTGTCAAGGAATTTGGCTACAGTTGTCATATTCCTCTTGTTAAGCCACTCCTGAACCACAGACAACGTCAGAGGCGTCTTACCTGGGCTAAGGAGAAGAACTGGACTGTTGCCCAGTGGTCCAAAGTCCTCTTTTCAGATGAGAGCAAGTTTTGTATTTCATTTGGAAACCAAGGTCCTAGAGTCTGGAGAAAGGGTGGAGAAGCTCATAGCCCAAGTTGCTTGAAGCCCAGTGTTAAGTTTCCACAGTCTGTGATGATTTGGGGTGCAATGTCATCTGCTGGTGTTGGTCCATTGTGTTTTTTGAAAACCAACGTCACTGCACCCATTTACCAAGAAATTTTGGAGCACTTCATGCTTCCTTCTGCTGACCAGCTTTTTGAAGATGCTGATTTCATTTTCCAGCAGGATTTGGCACCTGCCCACACTGCCAAAAGCACCAAAAGTTGGTTAAATGACCATGGTGTTGGTGTGCTTGACTGACCAGCAAACTCACCAGACCTGAACCCCAGAGAGAATCTATGGGGTATTGTCAAGAGGAAAATGAGAAACAAGAGACCAAAAAAATGCAGATGAGCTGAAGGCCACCAAAGACTTAAACTACTTCAGTCTGTGTGCATTGAATTTATTTAATACACGAGTTTCACAATTTGAGTTGAATTACTGAAATAAATGAACTTTTCCACGACATTCTAATTTATTGAGATGCACCTGTACACATAGCCGTGGTCCAAGCTTGTATTAAAGGAATTGTCCTGGAACATCCCGCACAGTCCAAGGTGCTGTGAGAAGCTCTGGGATATGGGGTGATAGGAACAGGGCGAGGACTGAAACGTGGGTGATCGAGCGCCGTAGTCGCCGGATGTCGTCTTATACATCAGGTTCTGAGATCTGGCCAGCGCTGGATCTTCAGGCGACGTGTGAGATCCTGGTTTGATCATGCAGGAGAAAACTGGGTTTCCAGGATTAGCACATGGAGCCCGATGCTCAGGATTCGACATTATGACTGCAGCCTGAAAGGAGATAAAGGGTGGACTAAAGAATTATTGTGTAACCAAAGCCAGTTAATCCTTTTAGGAACTCAAAACATTTCATTGACCACTACTTTTTTATATTAAAAATATGATTTTAAGAATATAATGAATGTAATTCCCTGTAGTAATATAAATACAGATAATATAAACCTATAAAACTCTGAAATGGTCCCTCTATTATTTATTTATTTATTTATTTATAAACGTTACTATTTATAATTTGGATATGCAAAGGAATTTAACTCAATTTTACTTCTTTTTTTTTTTACTGCAAAGTGTTTAACTTTTTTTTTTATTTGTGCAATAAATTGTATAATAACTGTATACTGTACAGTTAGAAGTATTATTTATTTATTTAAATCACATTTTATGTATTTTAATAAATGCATTTATTATTTTATGTATATTTTAATTGATTTTTGAATGTATTTGTTTTAATCAAATATTGTTTATTTAGTATTTATTTAAACCAAATTGGATTTATTTATTAATCAGGCTAAGTTAGATATATAGTTAATTTAATCTAAATTTTATTTTATTAAAAATCTTTTTTTTGTACATTTTCACACAGGTTTTCTGTAAACTTTCCACTTTTAACTCTGCAAATGTATGTAACCCTTTTTAATTGTATTTAACCCTTAACCCTTTTATTTTTAATTATGTTATTTACTAAATTGTAATATTTTATGCATTATTTATAATTTATTCAAATTGTTTTAGCGCAATTGCAATATTAGATAACAATGAAAAAGATCAATATAATCTTCTAAAGTAAAAAAAAAAAAAAATGCAGCTTCACGGCGAGTTGTGTTGTAAGAACGTCTCTATGGCAATGACCGGTGACGTCAACTGCGCTTGCGCATAAACAAAAAGGCACACAAAACTATCATTTCAACCTACGATCGACTAGATTTGTCAGGAAATTAAATTTAAACGTCGGAATCGCTGTTAAACAGATTAAACAAATCAGCAGCCACGCAAACAGAGACGCTTCAAAAATTCCGAGTCACTCACAGGATGCGTTAGCCTCATGGGAAATGTAGTTTTCAGAGTTCTAGAATGTTAAGGCAGGAACGAGGGGATGATGACTTGTAAAACTACAACTCCCATGCATCTTCCTCTCGGCAGCCGCCGCCGTGTTGTTGTTCGTGTAGCGCACTGTTGATGTTTTGGCTCAGTTGGAGAGGCGTGACGTTTAATGGTAAATTTACACAGAGGACGTTTGCCTTCTTCTTTTCTTTCGCTGCAGTTTACCTCTAAAACAGGTAAGGGCAACATACAATGCACATAATGCAGTTTAAAGCCATCTTTAGCAGGACTGACAGACTAAAGAGACTCATTCATATTTTACTGTGTGATTGTTAGAGTCGGTGTTTGGCATTTTACAACAGTTCAGTTCACGTAATTAATCAAATGTTGAGTTTTGGACGTTATAAATCTAATTTTAGATTATGGGAATCTCCTGCCTCGATTTTATTTGCCTGAATAAGATTAAATAAGACGTATTCTGCAATAATAATCGCTCAACAGTTGTCGTGTTTATGTAACTTAGCTCTCTGTTTTTGCATAAATCATATTGTCGTATAACAGAATCAAAGAACAGTATTTTGCATCATCCATTAATCTATAACAGAGGGTTTCAATTTTGTAGATGTTACAGACCCCTAAATATGATCATCCTCGTCCCAGGGACCCCCATCCTAAAATGTAAAAGGCAGCTATATATTTTCATGAATAAAGACTCAATGAATATTGTGAAAAATATATTATATAATTATAAATAAGTGTAAAATATTATAATATTATGTTATGTCATGTAATTAAATTTTTCTACTCACTATAGCACTGTACTGTGAGATGTATTAAATAACATTTTATTTATTTTATTTTTAGCCATTTATTTATTTATTTAAATCAAATTTAGTTAGATTAAATTTTTTATTTATTTATTTAATTCAAATTTAGTTAGATTTAATCTTTTTTATTTATTTATTTAAATCAAATTTAGTTAGATTTAATTAATTAATTAATTAAATTATTTATTTTACATATTTCTATGGACCCTCTTTTATTTATTTATTTATTTAAATCAAATTTAGTTAGATTTTATTTATTTATTTATGTATTTATTTATTTTTACATATTTCCATGGACCCTATTTTATTTATTTATTTATTTATTACAAATTTCCATGGACCCTCCAGCACTCCTTTGTGGTCAGTTTGAAAGCTTCTGATCTATAACACTAATAAGCACCTAAATATCATGAATCAGATGCTTTTGCACTCATTAAATCTGTTAAAGCGTTTCCGTGTTCAGTGGTTTTGTTTGGATGATGTTATATATGTGCAATGGCTCTGTTCTTCTGCTTTTTTGGATGGTTAACAAACCAGAGTGTGTTATTTTTGCTAGCTCTTCCTGAAAAACAAACCAGTGAAACAACCAGATGATAGTTTTGACTCAGATCTTGGTTCACCTCGAAATGAAAGCTCTGACATTATTTACTCCCTCACGCCTTTCCAAACCTGCGTGCTGTGACAGACTTTTCATGAACTCTTGCATATTGAATGCAATGTTTTATGGGTTAAAAAAAGTTTAGTATGAAATTAAACCAGAATGCATCAGATTTCAGTGTTACTGTCAGATCTATATGAGAAGTTTCTTTATTGTGTCTGTAATTCTTCTTGTTTATGGAGACCTCTCGGCTTCTGCAAAAGCAGAATAATCATTTCCCAGTGACAGGGTCAACCTGACATTTCCATCCCATAAATGAGTGTTCAGGTGGACGTCATTACAGAGGACAACAACACTGATGAGACTTGAAATAATGCAGTTTGCAAACTTTGCATAGTCGAATGTGTGTGTTTTTTTCCCTCGGGAGTAACAGTCCATGATTCTGTTGTGGTTATTTTTGTCCTGTAGCTGGTTGAGAGATGTCCGACAGCTCCAGTGACACGGAGTCGTCCTGCGGATGGACAGTCATTAGTAATGAGGTGATTCACGTTTTATCGCTTGGATCGTTACCCATCGGGTTTACTTCTAATCTCAGTATAAATGCTTTTTGGGAGTTATTCTTGTACAATCCTCTGCTGGGTGAAGAACACATCTAGGTCATATTTTACTCCTAAATCTAAAAATAGAAATAATAAATTATATTTTGCATAAAGAAAATTAAGCCTATTTTGGGGATTTTTTTTGCAATTTGGCATTATTTTTATGACAATAAAGCACATTTCCATATTTTTTAATTGATTGATACTCATTAGATACTTTTTTTTATTTTGGGTTAAAATATTTTGAAATATGATTGTGAGATTAACTCAATTTAATGATTTAAATTTTTTTTTATAAAAATATACAAACACTTATAAATGATGTAAATTGTAACTTGATAATATATATATATATAAATGATGTGTAATGTATATATAATGTAATGTAAATTATACATGTATATGTAAATTATACATTATTTTCATGACAATGAAGCACATTTGCACATTTTTGATTGATACTCTTTTTTTATTTTGGATTGAAATATGACACTTTTTTATAAAAAATTATAAAAAAAAAAATACAAACATTTATATTTATTTATTACAAATTTCCATGGACCCTCCAGCACTCCTTTGTGGTCAGTTTGAAAGCTTCTGATCTATAACACTAATAAGCACCTAAATATCATGAATCAGATGCTTTTGCACTCATTAAATCTGTTAAAGCGTTTCCGTGTTCAGTGGTTTTGTTTGGATGATGTTATATGTGTGCAATGGCTCTGTTCTTCTGCTTTTTTGGATGGTTAAACCAGAGTGTGTTATTTTTGCTAGCTCTTCCTGAAAAACAAACCAGTGAAACAACCAGATGATAGTTTTGACTCAGATCTTGGTTCACCTCGAAATGAAAGCTCTGACATTATTTACTCCCTCACGCCTTTCCAAACCTGCGTGCTGTGACAGACTTTTCATGAACTCTTGCATATTGAATGCAATGTTTTATGGGTTAAAAAAAGTTTAGTATGAAATTAAACCAGAATGCATCAGATTTCAGTGTTACTGTCAGATCTATATGAGAAGTTTCTTTATTGTGTCTGTAATTCTTCTTGTTTATGGAGACCTCTCGGCTTCTGCAAAAGCAGAATAATCATTTCCCAGTGACAGGGTCAACCTGACATTTCCATCCCATAAATGAGCATTCATTACAGAGGACAACAACATAAGATGAGACTTGAAATAATGCAGTTTGCAAACTTTGCATAGCCGAATGTGTGTGTTTTTTTCCCTCGGGAGTAACAGTCCATGATTCTGTTGTGGTTATTTTTGTCCTGTAGCTGGTTGAGAGATGTCCGACAGCTCCAGTGACACGGAGTCGTCCTGCGGATGGACAGTCATTAGTAATGAGGTGATTCACGTTTTATCGCTTGGATCGTTACCCATCGGGTTTACTTCTAATCTCAGTATAAATGCTTTTTGGGAGTTATTCTTGTACAATCCTCTGCTGGGTGAAGAACACATCTAGGTCATATTTTACTCCTAAATCTAAAAATAGAAATAATAAATTATATTTTGCATAAAGAAAATTAAGCCTATTTTGGGGATTTTTTTTGCAATTTGGCATTATTTTTATGACAATAAAGCACATTTCCATATTTTTTAATTGATTGATACTCATTAGATACTTTTTTTTATTTTGGGTTAAAATATTTTGAAATATGATTGTGAGATTAACTCAATTTAATGATTTAAATTTTTTTTTATAAAAATATACAAACACTTATAAATGATGTAAATTGTAACTTGATAATATATATATATATATATATAAATGATGTGTAATGTATATATAATGTAATGTAAATTATACATGTATATGTAAATTATACATTATTTTCATGACAATGAAGCACATTTGCACATTTTTGATTGATACTCTTTTTTTATTTTGGATTGAAATATGACACTTTTTTATAAAAAATTATAAAAAAAAAAATACAAACATTTATAAATTATATATACTGTATGCATATACACACACACACACACACACAAATTATATAAATATATGCAAGTTGTTTTTCACTTCACTGTTTTTTATACTGTTTCTTAAGCAAATACTTACTTTTAAAAGCTTAACACTTTTAAAGTTAAGCCATAGTGACTGTGTGTGTGTGTGTGTGTTTTATAGGGTTCGGATATTGAAAATCTGGGGCCGGATTACGCCGGAGAGTGTGAGGATGGAGCGGTTATCCACGCTCTGGACGTACCTGATGGTGAGGATGTCACGCATTGTGTCACTTAAAATGAATAAACACAAAACTATTTATGTTGTTTGAGAGGGCAGGTTTTGTGGCATGAATTTAATGATTACAGCTGATGTAGAATGCAGTATTAATGTGTGGTTTATCATGTGTGTCATCAGCACACAAGAGGGAAAGGATGAATGTGTAAATCCAGAGTGGTCAAACAAGTTTGAAATATTTGAGCTTGTTTTTTCAGCCAAGCAGGGTGAGGAGAGTTTGGGAGAGTCTTCACTAGACCTCACACTGAGAGAGGAGGCGGAACCGGCCCAAGAGGTGTGATTAAGCCTGAAAATTACCTCCTGTCGAGTGTTATTGTTCTGCAGAGAGGAATTTAAAGGCTTAAAGAAGTGCCATTTGTGTTTTCTTGCAGGCGGGTGGAGAAGAACATGTGATCCTTTGCTCCTCCAGTGAGAACTCTGACATCATCACCCTGGCGGACTCTCAGGAGGCGGAGATTGACGCGTGGGAGGAGCCTGTTGCTAAGGAGGCGGAGGAGGAAGCAGGAAGTGAGGAGCTCTATCTCGGAAGCTCGTCGAGCAGCCAGTACACGTTTAGAGAGTCAGAGACAAGTGAGTGGAAAAGATGTTTACATGCGAATGAATGTCCTAATTAATTAGCAGTGGGATTTTCTTTAAGCTCGTCTTTATGAATTAAAGAAAAGAATCATGTTGGAAGATGATTGGTGTTGATCACAGTTGAGTTTTAATTGAGAATGTTGACGGTAGAGTTTGGTTTGTACTCGATTTATTTACTGTTGAGAAAGATAGCGATTGAGCATGCAAAACTAAGGCTGCATGATTAACTGAAATAAAACCCTAAATTACAACAAGACTTATGATCTATATATAAGCAGCTTATGATCTGTTGTCTTAATGGTGAAATATTACAATATTAATATTTCTTATTTGGTTTAATATTTTTATTTAGCAATTAATAATACAATTTTTGTCCAAATCTAAATCAAATATCACAATTTTTAGCATAAAATATCAAGCTTGTGTGGTAAAACTACACTTCCCATGATTCTCTTTGGTAGTGCAAGAAAGATAAAATATGCATCAATTGCACATTTCAAATGTACATCATTTGCTCTTCATTGTGTTGTACCAAGCTTCCTGTATTTGTCAATAAGTGAAAAAGAAAAAAAGAAAAATGAAATTGCACAATGCATCGTAATTACAATTTCCAAAGTTTCCGAAGTTGGAAAGAGGAGCTTTCCAGGTGAACTTGAATTTTTTTTTATACATATGTGACCTCTGACATCTGTCATCCATCTGTCATTTGCCGTTATCCTGAAAATACTGGGTGAATTCCCAAGCTGCTTGAAAAAGGGTGGTGCCGTGGTGGGAAAGTTTCAGAATTTCCTAGAAATATGCCCTGAAATTCCCGGTGTGTTGATCGTCCCATTGTGTCCGTGTTTTTCATTTTATGGATTCATCTCATAAAGAAATGTTTGGGTCATATTTCAGAAATTACATGTAATGCTTAAATGTGAATATTTTTGCATAAAGAAACTCTCATTTCTATCCACCTTATTTTTCCCGTAAGAGCGGGTGTGGCCATTTGTAAATGTAATGTGTCTTGCTTCCGGTCTCATCCACTTCCAGCTATTTCTAAGTGTAAAAAAACAGCTCGTTTCGCTGCTTGATATTGCAAATTGGTGTGTCTTACCATATTATTTTAATGTATTATCTTAATTATGAACACACTGGTTTGTAGCACAAATAGTTTTACCGTTTACTGCACGTTGTTATTCTTCTCGTTATTTCCCTACAGCGGCTAATGAACCGGAAGTCTCGCACATTCACAGAAAACAGCTTACTTCCGCATTGATAAATAAGGTGGATAGAAGCTTATTTCCATCATAGAATAATAATAAAAACAGGTAATTGTGAATCTTTTTTTTTTTTTGCAATTCTGACTTTTTACGAGATATTGCAAGATGCAAACTCACAATTATATGTAGATATAAATTCGCAATTCTGAGAAGAAAAGACTGAATTGTGCGATATAAAAAGAAAAAAGTTCAGGTCGTTTCTGCCATTGAATAAAAAAAATAAAAAATGTAACTGTGACTTATGTCTTAAATTTCAGACTTTTTCCCTTGCAATTACGAGTTGCAAGATTTCGCAAACTTGTAATTCTAAGAAGAAAAGTGAATTGTGAGACATAAACTCGCAATTGAGAAAATAGTCAAGCTCATTTCCACCAAGGCATATAAAATAAAAAAAGGTAATTTTGACTTTTTGATCTCAAAATTCTGACTTTCCTCACAATTACATGTTTTTATCTCACAATTCAGACTTTTTTTCTCAGTTTTGCGAGTTTATATCTCACAATTATGATTTATATCTCTAAGTTCTCAAAAAAATAGTCAGAATTGCAAGATGTAAACTCCTAATTCTGAGAAGATAAGTCAGAATTGTGAGATATAAAATAGTCACAATTCAGACTTTTCTTCCAATTTCTGTTCCAATCTCGCAATTTTCAGAAAGTCAGAATTGTGAGATAAAAAGTTGCAATTACCTTTTTTATTCCATGGCGAAAAACAAGCTTCCATGCATTTTTAAATAATTCTTAATAATAGTGATGATGATAATAATATAATGCTTAAATTTAATGCAAAATATAATTTCGTTTGATTTTGCGGTTGAATATGACCCACACGTTTTTATGAGTTTTCATGACATTCGCCCTTATAAGACACAAAGACATGTTGGTTTCTCTCTCCCGGAGCGGCAGCAGACTGGTGTTGGAGCAGATGGGGATTTTCCAGGACGCTGTGGGAATATGGCAGCCATCTGCACAGCTCTCTCTCTCTCTCAGGTGCTCTGGCATGGGAGTGTGAGCGTGTTGTGATCAGCATGCTGATAAAGCTCTGAGGACCGTGAGCGTGTTTGTGAGTGATGTGGCAAAAATAGATTCTGATGAAACGCCCAGCCAATGGCTGTGAGAGTAAATAACACGTGTAAAGTGTGCGAAAAAGCCACATTAATGTGTTTGTTTGACCTACATTTCGGCATGCTATTAAATGTGTCGTAAATCCATATCTCGACTAGACTGTGAGCTATTAGTGTTGGGTCATTCTGTCTCAACTCAGTTCAAAAATGGGAGAAAGCATGTCTTGTGTTTTTGTTTGCATGCCTGTAACACAAGAAGTATTAAAGATATCTAAATATCCTTTTATATTTCAGTTCTTAACAATGTTTTCTTTTGGTATCTTAATTTTTGAGGCCCTATATGCTTCATTTCCAGAGATATAGGGATTTCAGTGTGGCTCCTTGAGTAAATTGTTAAATTGTGCACATTTTCAGTGGTCAAAGACCAAATGTGGGTCACTTTGCATACGGCTGATACTTTTTTCTTTAAAAGAGGAATGTCTGAAGAACAAATAATGTTGAAACTAGAAATGTATCTTGTTCCCTCTATCAAAATAGTTGCATAGAACATACCTGTCTGAGTGCCAAAAATAACCTTTTTTATTATTAATTCTTAATAATTATTTATTATTTATCTACTGCTGTTTATTTTTATTAATGCTATTTTTTTTTTTACTATTTATTTATTTTAGTTTACTTATTGCTATTTATTTATCCAGTCATATACATATTGTTATTTATTTATTTGCTTACTTGTTGACATTTATTTATTTATTTACTTATTGTTATTGCTATTTATTTACTTACTTGCTTATTGCCGTTTATTTATGTATTTACTTATTTTTATATATGCATTTATTTATTTGCTTGTTTATTGATTGCTATTTATTTATGTATTGCTGTGTATTTATTGCTATTTATTTACTTTTGGCAATTTATTTATTGCTATTGTTATTTACTGCTGTTTATTTATTTATTTATTTCACACTTCCCAGTGGTAATTATAATTCACTTCATTTAAGAACAACAGACGTCAATGGGACGTCAGCACCATGTATGTGTATGTGTGTGACTGTGTGTGTGTGTGTTAATTCCTCTGGGTTGTGTGTGTTTTTATCCGTACTCAGTTTTCCCAGCGGATCAGCCTGTGCAGCGAGACGGCGGTAACAGCAGCAGTGAGGATGAGGAGGGTGAGGTGAAGGCCAGTCCTGTGGTGAGGAGACGCAGAGTGAGGAGGAGCACCGCCGGCTCAGAGCCTGGAGACCCGCAGGAGCCCCACAGGAGACAGGAGGAGGTGCTGCGTCTCAAAACAACTCATCACTCCAGCATTTACTCAATACAGATCAGATATATATCAGATATGAGCACAATACAATTAATAATAGTTTTTATTTTATTATCATTCTTTTTTTAACATTTTACTTTAACATAATACTTTAGGTGTTTTAATTTGCAACTAATAATGTTACTACATGACAGATATAAATTAATTAACATGCTTTCACTAGTATAAAAAGAAGTTTTTTTCAGTATTTTTTTTTTAGTTTTTTCATTGTAATTTTAGTTTTTAGTGTAGTTTTAGTTGAATTTTGTTTTTTGTTTTTATTATTATATATATATATATATATATATATATATATATTCAGTTTTAGTTATTCCAGGCACAGTCCAGATTCAGGAGAGGCAGAGGATTGTAGAAAAGAGTCGCGTGAATGAGCTGGAAGGGCCGTGTAAGAGAGAGCTGGATGTTGTAAGTAAGGTCCGTCTGTCACAATCCGCTCACTGAGCTTTACTGCTGATAGAAAAGCTTTATTACTCGGATTCAAACACTCGTTTTATACCAGAGAGGGATAATATGAGCATTCAACTAAAGTTTGAATCCAGTCTTCTGGAAATAGCTCTCTGTGTTTTCTGGTTTCTCTTGTCATTCTCATTGGTGAACTTTGTTTCAGCTTTCATTGTCCTGTAGCTTTTCTGCTGATAATTTCCTCTCAGATTCAGCTTTAGATGCTGAGATTTAGTGTCCTTTGTCTTACTTTTGTACTCGTTTATTTTTCCACTAATACATTTAAATCACTTTTGCTGTATTGTCGTTATTGGGCTTTTTTACATTCCTGGCTCAGTCTAATGTATGTCTGTTATTCCTAATTATTAATTTTTTATAAATCTTAACTAGTTTTATGTAGTTTCAGATAAGCATTATATATGATTTTCATTATTTCTGAAGCAGTTTATACTTTTATTCAGCATGGATGCATTAACTTGATCAAAAGTGACAGTAAAGACCTTTGTAAAGTTACAAAAGATTTCTATTTCAAATAAATGCTGTTCTTTTGAACTTTCTATTGGCTGTAATGATGCTGAAAATTCAGCTTTGCATCACAGGAATAAATTACATTTTACAAAATATTCACATAGAAAACAGTCATTTTAAAATCTAATAATATTTCACCATTTTTACTGCATTTTTGATCAAATAAATGCAGCCTTGGTGAGCAGAAGAGACTTTAACAAACATTTAAAAAATCTTACCGACTCCAGACTTTGAACAGTAGAGTAGCTTTTCCTGGGCGTCATTCTCACGTCAGTCTCCATGCGTTTAGGAAGCGGTTGAGAATCTCAGGGAAGACCTAGAGGAAAAGCAAGACATGGTGATGTCCCTCATGAACGTCATGGATAAGATAACTAAAGAAAACCAGCATCTCAGAGTCAAACAGGAAGAGTTACAGGTAACCTGGATGCATCATTGTTTCCTCTCAAAATCTCTCGTGTTTTGGGGGAAAGCAAAGTATGGCTGCAACAAAATTCACCAATTTTTACTGGTTGTCAGTGTTGTTCTAGTATCATTGAGATACTATAATAGTTAAGCCATTTGTAGATAGATTTCCTCAAAAAGTGTAACTGCTGATTGCTTTCAAGAAAAAAAACATACTTTAAAATACTCATTCTTCAGGAAGTGACATCGTTTATCACAGGCTTCCCAAACGGGGGTTCATGAATTGATTTATATATATGTTTTTTATTTTTGTATTTTCCGATTTTCTGATTTTTTTTAGTTTTAGTTATATTTTTAGTAATTTTGTAGTGTTTTGTGGTTTTAATTAGTCACTGATTTTATTTCAGTTTTAGTTATTTTAGTACATCAAGAAAACGGAAAGTGTTGCTTTGACAACAAGTTGAAATCAGGGTTATCATAGTTAACCAAAACTAAAACCATAAAAAAACATTTTTGTTAGTTTAAATAAAATAAAAATTTACTTAAAACAAAATATAAAATACCTTTTCTCATTTTCATTTAGTTTAACTTGATGTTCTAAAATTACTAACACTAAAATAAAAATTAATAACAACTATATTTTTGGGGGAAAGCAAAGTATGGCTGCAACAAAATTCACCAATTTTTACTGGTTGTCAGTGTTGTTCTAGTATCATTGAGATACTATAATAGTTAAGCCATTTGTAGATCGATTTCCTCAAAAAGTGTAACTGCTGACTGCTTTCAAGAAAAAAACATACTTTAAAATACTCATCCTTCAGGAAGTGACATCATTTATCACAGGCTTCCCAAACGGGGGTTCATGAATTGATTTATATATGTTTTTTATTTTTGTATTTTCCGATTTTTTTTAGTTTTAGTTATATTTTTAGTAATTTTGTAGTGTTTTGTGGTTTTAATTAGTCACTGATTTTATTTCAGTTTTAGTTATTTTAGTACATCAAGAAAACGGAAAGTGTTGCTTTGACAACTAGTTGAAATCAGGGTTATCATAGTTAACCAAAACTAAAACCATAAAAAAACATTTTTGTTAGTTTAAATAAAATAAAAATTTACTTAAAACAAAATATAAAATACCTTTTCTCATTTTCATTTAGTTTAACTTGATGTTCTAAAATTACTAACACTAAAATAAAAATTAATAACAACTATATAGACATTTAAAAAAAAAAAGCTATATTTAATAACAATGACAAAAGCACGCAAAAATGTAAAAATACAAAAACTAATTCAAAATATAAAAAAAACTATAATACTATCTAAATTATATTAAAATAACACTGGCTGAAGTCAAATACATTTATTTTATTTAAAGTAACAAAATTAAAAAAAGAATTTTTTTTATGGTTGATTAACTCTGCTGGTTGTATCTACCTTATTTTTAATATAAGAGCAGGTGCAACGTGAATATGCAAGACTTCTGGTGTCATTCGCTTCTAGTTATTTTACTTAACAGTAACTTTACTTTTTATACAAACAGTACATTATGCTGCTTTATCGTGTTATTTTCACGATATGCTTTTAGTCATTTACCTAAAGCTAATGAATTGGAAGTCTCACACATAAAAAAAAAATAGCTTATTTCTGCGTTCAAACATAAAGTAAATGCTTTAAAATTCATGGGAACTGGCCACATTAACAGTTCGGCTTCCTGTTTGAAAACACAGGCCCAAAGACAAGATTTATACGTGCAACTGACGCAAACCAAAAGCCAAATGGAGTCTCGGCAGAAAGACCTGACCACAGAGAACCAGCATCTTAAAAGCACTCTGGAGCGAGAAGAAGCGTCTCTGTCGGCCCTGAAGGAGCAGCTGCGGTCCCTGCGGGGACAGATACGAGAGCTGGAGGAGAGAGGGGCCGGGGCCGACTCCATCATGTCCGAAAACCAGCGACTGAAGGGCCACTTACAGGACGAGAAACAGAAAGTGCGCAGCTTCATGAGCCAAAGGGAAGCGCTGATGGCCGAAGCTCAGGTGCTGCGGAAAGAGCTCGATAAAGAGCGCAAGGTGACCGACAAGCTCAAGGAGGAACTGGAGGAAATAAGAAAAGAGGAGGACGTCGAGGGCAAGACGGATCCCGAGACCGAAGAACTGCAGGCGCGACTTCAGGAGCTCGAGAACAAGCTGAAGTTCGAGCAGCAGCGCTCCGATCTTTGGGAGAGACTGTACGTGGAGTCGAAGGAGGAGAGAGCGAAGGGCGACAGGGACGTCAAGACCAAGATTCCCAAGGATGGGATGCTGGGAAAAGTGAAGGAAACCTTAGACGCTGTGAAGAACTCCACGAAGGAGTTTGTGCACCATCACAAGGAGCAGATCAAGAAAGCCAAAGAGGCGGTGAAGGAAAACCTCCGGAAGTTTTCCGACTCCGTTAAATCGACGTTCAGGCATTTTAAAGACTCGGCCTCGAATGTCTTCAGCCATGAAAAGAGGTTTCACGACGGCAAACCCGAGCATCACACGTTTAAGCAGGAGCAAGGAAACAAGCGCGCCGAAGACTGGCAGCCGCAGAAACCTTTACACCGACATCCTCGCAAATCAACAAAAAAAAGCTATATTTAATAACAATGACAAAAGCACGCAAAAATTTAAAAATACAAAAACTAATTCAAAATATAAAAAAAACTATAATACTATCTCAATTATATTAAAATAACACTGGCTGAAGTCAAATACATTTATTTTATTTAAAGTAACAAAATTAAAAAAAGAATTTTTTTTATGGTTGATTAACCCTGCTGGTTGTATCTACCTTATTTTTAATATAAGAGCAGGTGCAACGTGAATATGCAAGACTTCTGGTGTCATTCGCTTCTAGTTATTTTACTTAACAGTAACTTTACTTTTTATACAAACAGTACATTATGCTGCTTTATCGTGTTATTTTCACGATATGCTTTTAGTCATTTACCTAAAGCTAATGAATTGGAAGTCTCACACATAAAAAAAAAATAGCTTATTTCTGCGTTCAAACATAAAGTAAATGCTTTAAAATTCATGGGAACTGGCCACATTAACAGTTCGGCTTCCTGTTAAAATAAAAATTTACTTAAAACAAAATATAAAATACCTTTTCTCATTTTCATTTAGTTTAACTTGATGTTCTAAAATTACTAACACTAAAATAAAAATTAATAACAACTATATAGACATTTAAAAAAAAAAAAAGCTATATTTAATAACAATGACAAAAGCACGCAAAAATGTAAAAATACAAAAACTAATTCAAAATATAAAAAAAACTATAATACTATCTAAATTATATTAAAATAACACTGGCTGAAGTCAAATACATTTATTTTATTTAAAGTAACAAAATTAAAAAAAGAATTTTTTTTATGGTTGATTAACTCTGCTGGTTGTATCTACCTTATTTTTAATATAAGAGCAGGTGCAACGTGAATATGCCGTTAAATCGACGTTCAGGCATTTTAAAGACTCGGCCTCGAATGTCTTCAGCCATGAAAAGAGGTTTCACGACGGCAAACCCGAGCATCACACGTTTAAGCAGGAGCAAGGAAACAAGCGCGCCGAAGACTGGCAGCCGCAGAAACCTTTACACCGACATCCTCGCAAATCAACCAGCGACTCCGTTCACGCCGATCGCAACACGCGCAAACCCGGCGCTCAGAGAGACCACAGCACCATGGGACAGAAAACGCCACCCAAAGGCTGTTCTGGAGTGTTCGACTGCGCCTATCAGGAGTCCATGAGTCTGTTTAACAAGGCCATGGATCCCATCCGCGCCGATGAGTTTAACGAGCTCCTGCGCAGCTATTTGCAGAAAGAAGTCGGACATTTCCACCACTGGAGGGAGCTGGAGAGCTTCATCGGTAACTTCTTCTATAACGGCGTCTTCATTCACGACCAGATGCTGTTTACGGACTTTGTCAGCGGCGTTGAGGATTACCTCGAGGAAATAGACGAATATCACAGCCTCAGCGACGACGTGTTCGAGGATCTGGACGACTACATATACCGCCACATATTTGGAGATACCTATCTAAAATACTTTGGGCCGAGGTAAGCTGTTTTGTGGTGTCAAAATAATCTTATTCAGAGATCCAGCTAGTGAAATTATAATCTAACTCAGCATAATTTGCATATGACTGTATTTTATTTATCTGGAATTGATCCTTAATTAAGCTCCGCCCCTCATTTACTGTTGCCTGCTTAATATGTTTTTTATTAAAGGCATTGTTAAATTATGCAGTAATGTGTTTTTAACGTTTCTTCAACTAGGGTTGTAAAAAGGCGGAGCATTTCCGTAAAGTTTCCAAAACGTTCCAGAAATTTTGGAAACTTTCCGGGATTTTTTTTGTAAATTTTAGGAATTTTCAGAAACTTTTGGATAATTTTTTGCCGCTTTGCAACCCTATCTACAACACATTCCGTATGGCAACTTTAATAATTATCAACACTTAAATGATCTGAATCCACATGTAAATTAAATTAAGTAACACTTCTTATTTATTTTTAGTGTTAATTTATTTGTGTTTTTTACATAGTATTAAAGTATTTATTAACATTTTGAATTAGCATTTATTTTTTATATTTTCTGTTTTCATTTTAATTTTAAGTAATTTTATGTGCTTTTGTCATTTCTATTTAACTTTTCTATTTCATTTTTAAAAATTTAATTAAATATAATTCTATTTTATATTTCTATTTCATTTTTAGTAATTGTAATTCTTCAACTTAAAATTACTTTATTTCAGTTAGTTGCCAAGGCAAAATTTCTCATTTTTAAGCTTTTTAAGTTTAGCTTCATCTAATATTTATATTTTATTTTATTTCAGCTTTATTTAAAAACGATTTTAAATAGTTGTGGTTTTTGTTAATTATAACAACATAACATTATAATAACATTTAAATATTTTAAAAAAGTAATTTGGAAATAAATACCATTTGTGTCCTCTATGAATACCTTGTGCCACTATTATAAGAGAACATTTATTGTATTTTAAAGATTTAGGCTATTTTATTTTTTTTTATTATATTTTTTTTTTTAGATTTAGACAATTAAAACACAAATCATTCATATAGACCGCCTCCCACTGTCATTTTGATTTTTTTATAGTAATAAAAATAATTTAGTTCAGTTAGAGAACAGACACTACAATTAAAGATTAAGATTTATTTTCGAAACGAAATGCAAAAGCGGATTTCCAGATGTTTGGCAATATTTTGGATTTTGAAAAGACTGTTGACTTTTGCCATTTATCTAAGGTGATTTTGTACGTTTTTTTAATAACATTCGATTATTATGTATTTGGTTCCACAGTTTTTGCTGATTTTTACTGTATTAAAACTTTGTGTAATTTATTTATTTTATTTTACATCAAGGTGTAAGCTTTCTTACTCGTTTTGGCTAATAAACATTCTCTGTTTATTTTATTTTTTTAAATATATATATATTTAAACTTTGTGTAAGTTATTTATTTTATATTAGGCCTATAGCATGGTGTATTTTTATTCAGTTTGTTAACAAAAGTTCTATTATATGTTTAATATAAGTTAGTTTGTCGTTGTACCGTTTTGTTGAATCCATTCAACCAATTGATGCAGAATTGCTGTTAATTTGAAAGTTTAAGTAAAATGCGCACGGGCAAGGAAAGTGAGGAAGAGGGAAAACTCCAACGAACCTCACCGTCACAACCCTAATATAGACTTATATATGGACATATATACTTATATTAACATGTAAAAGCTTGTCTGATAGCATTTTGAATATAAGTTTAACATTTGAAAAATACAACAAATATAAGTATTACATTTGATCAAAATAATTTGGAAAATAAATACTGTGTGTCACTATTATAAGAGCAACATTTATTGTATTTTTGAGATAATTTCTATAAAATGATGTTCAAAACTAATTAAAAAAAAAACATCATTCATACAGAGTAGATTTATATTATATACAGTCATAGAATTTCCATTAAAATGCAAAAGCTCATCTGATAACATGGCGCATGTGAGTGTTTGCTGAGCTAGGATTGGTCAGTAACGGGTGATTTCTTGTTGTCTGTTATCACTTTAGTGCACACAGGTTGCTTGTTCATAACCCTGTTGGTTTCTGTTGCTTCTCTGTCTGTAGGTCTGAGAAACAGTAGAGTCTGCATGCACACACGCATGAGTCAACCACGCATGAGGCTTTGTGGTAAACCCTAAACAATGTCCTGTTTGTAAATTTGCAGTCGACCCTTCAAAGGGCCGGGGTCGAAGGGCAAGGCGTGGCGTCACTGTCAGCGGCAGCAGAGGAAGCAGCATCAGCCTCGTCCTCGTCCTCAGAGAGCCAAGAAATGGAGCCAATCCAACCGACAGTTCGCAGATGTCAAAATAGAGCTGGGTCCCATGCCCTTCGATCCCAAATATTAGAAGAAACATTTCAGTTCTTCTTAATATTGCTCCTAATTTGTTTGTTTTGTCCTGGAGAGGGTTCAAGAAAGCTTTGGTTTCACCTTTTCTCTGATTTTTTTTGCACAGTGTAAATGTTCTAATGCTGGTTGAATGATTTCTAGCGTGTTTTTCTTTCTGCACTACGGTGCATCCAAACGGCACTTTTTAGCAGATTAGAATTAATTATAGGTATTTTTTTTAAAGGCACATTTATGTTCCCCATTCCCTGAATTTATGCAAAAAGAATTGGAAATTATTATAACAAATGTGCGAATTATTTTGATTTGGATTACTTACCAAAAAAAAAAAAAAAAAGCACTTTGTTTTGTTGCATTTTAATTAATTATGAATGTTTCTAAACAAAAAAACTGAAATAGAAACGTATGTTTAATTTTGCTTAGGCCCAAATAACCAATCAAAATGCATTATATTTAAATTATTTTCATCTCAAAAGTTCAGTAGATTTGGAAGAATAAGGAAAACTTATTAAAAATAACTTTGAAGTAATCTGGTTTGACCGGTTTCTGCTGTACCAGTTTTCTTGGAACATGCAAATCAGTAGAAGGTATGATTTAAGATTTACTTTCAATCTGCACTTGTTAGTGCACTATTTTTCCCTCTTTTTCTTGTCTGTGTGGCTATCGGCTAAATTACATTCCTTGTTTGGAAACGGCTCTAATGTAATTGAACACAAATGCACTTAAACTGCTTAATGTTGCACTTAAAGTCTAGAATAAAAGTCTTTCACTGCTTCACTGATGATTGTCCTCCTGCTTTGAGCTGAAAAAGATCGGGATCTTACACTGGAAAAACGAAAAAGACAGTGTAACAAAACAAAACTCTTTATATAAGTTTGAGATCAGTTGTACAGCTTCAAAAAATGTAACTTTATTTAGTCTTCAGTTCAGATCCTCTCGTGTATATTAATATGTTCCGTCCCACGCGACCTTCAGGAAAATGAGTGTGGAATATTTCAGCTTTTTTGGCAAATCGGTTTTCCTCCAGGAATGATGAAATCTCCTGAAAGAGAAAGAAACAAACTCGGTATTTGATCAAACCTCTAAAAGTAAGTATTGAACTTTAGTGTGCATATATAATTTTTGCAAACAGTGTAAACATTTAGTGATGTGATGTGACTGCACTTCACTGTTTTGGATCTGTTACCTTCTCCAGGCAGTCGAACAGCACTATATGTGAAGGCAGCTTGGAATGAGATGGGAAGGACGTTCTGAGCCAGTGAAGAGGGTTGGAGAAGAACACGTCTGCTTCATCCACATACTCCTCATTTCCCGTGAGATCTGGTGGACACTCCAGGAACCGCAGTTTGAGGGGACAGTGCAGGTGACTGCAAAACATAAGTGCAACCAGCCTCTTATTGCTTTAACCCTATAAAGTACTGGATGCGCCTCTAAATGATCAACATGATCAAACTTTGCTGTTAAACCTGTCGCATACAATCTACTCCACGCCTTCTGTCTGATTGAGAGTTTTTTATCCAGTTAAAGCTCTTTTAGTGTAATTGTACAAACGTCCAGCTTCAGCTCGAGCGTCACGTGTCTTTCTGCGGTCAAATCTTGACTGATTTTTATCAGGTAAACTTAAGCATATCCTAAGATATTGTTAGTAGTATTTCCAGATGAACACTTACTGGACTGAAGCAGCTTAAGTTTACTTGATTCACCATCTGAGTATCAAAAGTATCAAATCTGATCATCAGGCTTTTAAAGGAACGTTTGTTTGTTCATCTCAACTGTTATTGCACTGCATTATATGTTTTGAAACTACAGAGCTTTGATCATAAATGAGAGTGATAGCCTTCATATATAATGCATTGTAATTCATTTTTAATGCATTAATTATGCCTTGTAATGCACCTTATAATGCAATGTATGATCTCATAATTAATTATAACTACAGTTATAATACATTATAATTCTTATCTATTCACTTTCACACCTTTAGAATGTATAATGCATTGAAACACTTGGCAAACAACCAATTTCAGATGCAACAAGGAATCTGCAGATATTAAAATGCATTTTAAATATTACAATAGTTACAATTATTTATGAAAATATATAATGCATTAGAACATAAATTATGAATTCCTTTATAATGCATTATAGTGCACCAACTACGCATTTAAATATCTTAAGACATATTATTGGAGATAATATTTATATTATTTTATGTAACTATCTGCTGCACTGTTATAAAGATCTCACTGATTTACATTACAAGCATCAGAATTTCATCTTACTTTTACCATATAAATATCAGCATCTGCACCAAATTGCATATTTTTGCTCAGTTTGGCCCTTTGAATAATATTGAGATGTTTTTACTACATATTCTCACTATATCAGACTATATGAGCCATAAAAGCCTGATGTATCAAATATGATACACATGCATATTCAATTTTTAAAAATTATTTTGTCTAAAGTTTCAATAAACTGCTCCATTTAATAAAATAAAACATTTCTATTATTTCATATGCCAGGCTTTACAGAGTTAATGCACCATAGTATAAAAAGTACTTCAAAGAGTACCGTAATTATTTTCGATGTAGATGGTTACCTGTAGAGCGGTGTGGAGTGACACGGCATGAGGAACAGCAGCTCAGGCGAGTTCTGAGACTCGCTGACGTCACACAGTTGCTGCAGGTCATGCATGACGTCCAGAGATCCACGCTGGTGAATTAAACCCGTGTATAATGCAGGAATCAGATTGAAGAGCAGCAGCGCAGCAGCAGCAGGTTTCCTCCACGCTTGCATCTTCGCTAAAGACATGCCTGTCAGTGCAAGCACGTGAAGACCTTCAGAACGCTTTCAAATCTACACAAACAGCTAAATGTTCATGCACTCACCGCTAAATATCATACAGAATGGCAGCACTGGATAAACAAACCGGAACTCCTTGTGTGCAAGCAAACTGCAAAAACACATTTAATGAGCTAAATAAAATAGATTTTTGCATGCTCGTCCAATGCTATCTCTGTATATGTGTTGTGTCTCGGTGCACCTGTAAATGGCTGTAGTCCATAAGACGGTTATCAGCAGGATTCTGTGCTTTTTGGTAGCCAGTGAACATCCGTGCAGGAAGAGAGGAAGGTGCGGGCCGAGCACGACCGGCAGACCCTGAGTGAAGTACCAGTGCCACGGATGAGCTCCGTAAAACTCGGCCACATTGTGCAGCACGTTAAACTTCAGGAAGTTCCACTGGACCAGGATCCACTTCAGAAATACAGAGAACATGAGGGTAATGATGATGATACATGAACTTCACACTTCTGTCTATGCCTGAAAGCTTCTTGCTTTTATTTAAAAATATCTAAAAGTGGGAATCACATGAAGACTGTAAAGAATATGTCCAGTGCATATTTAACCCACAAATTATAATTTTGCATAATGACAATTAACCACATTTTCCTCCCTAATTCTTTTTACCATGAAGCGTCCAGATGTTTAAATTTTTTATTTTTTTTTGGTAACATATTTTTAAACTTCTATACATTTTTAGTAGTAACACGTCATAATTTATTATTTTTATGAAAAGTGCAGTTCCTTATTCATGTCTGTTATTAACTAAAACTATGACAAAAAAAAAACAAAAACATTTTGTTTATTAAAAATAAGCTGGGAAAAAAGTTGAAAAAGCTGAATTAAAATAAAATATAAAGTTAAAAAAAGTATATTTAGACAAAAACTAAAAGTTTAAATGCTGCAATTACTAAAACTGAAATTAAAAAAAGCTACATAGAAATAATAAAAACTATAAAAAATACAAACTAATAAAAATTTCTAAAATGAAAACTGATGTATATAGTGAATTTAAAATATTAAATAAATACTATAATAGTACATAAATAATACTAAAATAACACTAGTTTATGTCTTTTTGTTGGGTTGAAATATGACCTGAGCATGATCTATTTCACTCAAAATAGGTAGTGTTTAGAAAGAAAGAAAAATACATTTGTTGTTTTAGGCTTTTTGTTCACTAGAACTAAACACATAAGTATACAAGTAACAATACACAATTTAAGTATGTGAATAAAATAAAAAAATACCTTTCCATAGAACACAGAGTCTATTAGTGTTGAGACACCCAATGCAAGAGCCCTGCACAGATGATGGAAACATCAGTGAATATACAGCAGACTAACACAGATTCTCGCCAGCATCATCCAGACTGTAAATTACAAGTGGAAACAAATGCAACATTTACGCAATGGGAAAGCATCGCTGTGTGATGAGCTTCAGCTTGTGCTTTTCCATGCAGAAATGATAGAAGAGCAGAGGAAGCCAGACGATCAGAGCTGTGGGACGGACAACGATGGCCAGCGACACCAGAGACAAATACTTCCAGCTGATGAGGAGAGAGCAGAAAAAAAAAAAAAAAAAGAGTGAGTCTTTAACGGGTTCGTGCACTCAGTGGTGTGTAGTTATGACATTAAATAATGCACCTGTTGTGCGTTTTGGAGCCGGGTAAAGGGTAAGAGCAAAGCGCCAGGCTGGTCAGAACCGTTTCCATGGTGTTGGTCAGAGTCCGGCTGCAGCAGAACCAGGTGAACCATGAACACAGCTGACAGAAATACTGACAGAAAACACAGCAGAACAGAGTCAAACCAACACAAAAGCATTCAAATTAATGCAGGGTTTGTGCATCTGCCTAATATCTTAAAAGAATAGTTCACCTAAAAAATTTTATTGGCTGATAATGTCCTCACCCTCAGTTAATCCAAGATGTAGATGAGTTTGTTTCTTCATCAGATTTGGAGAAATGTAGCATTGCATCACTGTCGTCTATTAGTGTTGAGACACCCAATGCAAGAGCCCTGCACAGATGATGGAAACATCAGTGAATATACAGCAGACTAACACAGATTCTCGCCAGCATCATCCAGACTGTAAATTACAAGTGGAAACAAATGCAACATTTACGCAATGGGAAAGCATCGCTGTGTGATGAGCTTCAGCTTGTGCTTTTCCATGCAGAAATGATAGAAGAGCAGAGGAAGCCAGACGATCAGAGCTGTGGGACGCACAACGACGGCCAGCGACACCAGAGACAAATACTTCCAGCTGAAGAGGAGAGAGCAGAAAAAGAGTCTAACAGGTCACTAGTTGGTAGTTATGACACTAACTAATGCTGAAAATATGTACGTTTGAACAATTTACTCCTGGAGCCATATTAAAATTCCAATATCTCTGGAACCGGACCATAGAGGGCCTTAAAAATGAAGATTCCAAAAGGAATGTTTGTTAAGACCCAATATCTAAAAAGGGCATTAAGATATCTTTAATACTTCTTGAGTTACAGGCATGCAAACTTTAGATAGTCAATAACCATTTCATTAAAAGCTGAAACAAATCCAGCATTAAGACATTTTTAACTTCAAAATTTCCGATTATGAGTCCTCAATCCATAATAATGTTTTATACAGTGAAAATGTCGTCTTGTCTGAATCAGGAGAGAAATCTGCACAGATCAAGTACCGTTTACAAGCCAAAACAGCTCTAAATAAATATGTGTGTGGATTTTGATGTGAGAGAAGTTAGCCAGAAGTAACGTTAAACGTCTTAATGATGGATTTGTTTCTTACAGACATGCATCTTTTCACTTCTCAAGACATTAACTGATGGACTGGAGTGGTGTGGATTACTTGTGGATTATTGTGATGTTTTTATCAGCTGTTTGGACTCTCATTCTGACGGCACCCATTCACTGCAGAG